CATGACTAGACGTTAGGTGATATGATGTACCCAGACATGATGTAGTGTGACATGACTAGACGTAAGCAGATGTGATGTGCCCTGACATGATGTAGCGTGACATGACTAGACGTAAGCTGATGTGATGTATAAAAAAGGAAAAAAGGAAGATAACTACATACACAAATATAGGATAGGTTTTCGAAAAATTAAATGAAAATTGAGGACATTTGAAAAGGTGAATCGCATGAAAATACAGGGACCCCGCGCTGTTTTGTTTTGTTTGTTTTGTTGTGTTTTTTTTTGTTGTTGTTGGTCTTCTAAATCATGAAAATCGTATTAAAAAAGTCAATCTTTTTGACATGGAATTCAAATAAAATTCATCGTCTAATTTCGCGATTCGTGCGATATCGGTTTTCTCGTGCAATTCAACGTGGATACTCCTTGTCAGCCAATGAATTTTGTGTTCCAGTCAAGTCATGTATTCCAGAGTCAAGAATTGTCGAATTTCAATGTGTTGGTATTGTTAAAAAGCTGTGCATTCTATACTTTACCGTTGGTATTTGCAAATATTCGTAAATTTAAAAGATGCTGACCCTATATGGATCTGTAATCAAGAAACACACCGGTGTTTAACTAACTTCAAAACGGTTTCTTACCTTCGTATCACTACCTTGCATCACATGGGCCCAGTTGATTCCATTGTCACTATATGACAAAGAGTAGGTTAACACTTGGGCTGATGCTGGCAAGCAGCCACTTGCAAGTCCTTGAGTATACACAGCCTTGACAGTATAGCGAACCTCAAGATCAATTTGTAGATACTCAGTGTTGGGATTATTATTAAGAGCACACCATCCTCCTGATCCGATTATTGTGTTGAATCGTCCATGGTGGGGTAAATAACCATCTCCAAGGACGCTGCTTGCAGTTATGCTTTCATTCTTTACCAATCCTGATTCTAATCCCACTGGATCCTTCCTCAGTTCAGCTGAAATGAAAGTATTATGTTACTAGTTTAGATTGCCTTTTGGTCTCTACCGGGCTGCCAGGAGTCATCGATTGAACCGTAGAACAAATTAGTTTTCGTATTTTTATCCATGCAATGTCAAACCAAACAAGTGTCAGAAAATTTAGCGAAAATGTATGATTAGAGGGGACGCTGGCTTCTTGAAGCATAAAGCTATTTCAAAAAAGGTCGTTGAAGTTTTGTTGCATGTTGTATGTTTCATATACCATAAGGTTTCAATGTACTGTGCAGTTGATATGCATATGAAGTCAGCATCACACTAGAGCAGTTTTTGTATAACTGTAAAAAGCTCGCGGCACGAGCGTGGCCATGACACGGAAAGGTAAACGCCAGACCAATCACATTGGGCGAAAATTTACTCTCCCTCCAATCAAATACCCCAAACAAAGCCGGAACATGGCCACGCCCAGGTCATGGCACTGCCAGACAAATCACATTGTGCAAGAAAAATTTAGCCAACCAAAATTCTAAAAAATCACGGTCGCGGCAAGGTACGCATAATGCACATGGCATATGAAAACTGGTCTATGTCGGGAAAAAAACGTGCAGGCAAAGTTTGGGATAACTCCATATTGTTGTGATATTACATTCAAAACGACCATACTGTAGTCCATTCCGTGCTTGGTATGCAACATAACACAAAACTTTCACCAACATTTTTATTGACGTTGTAGCTGTATTTCTGTTCCAATCATTTTCAGCTGAATCAACATGTATTACTCAAATAAGATGACGAGTTCTTACCTGAAACATATGCCTCGACCTCAACCTCGCAAAGCGTCAAGACGGTCCTCAAGGAGTTGACTATTTCAACGTATCTCCCTTGTCGCATTTGTTCGCACACTACCTTCTTGTGTTCACCAGCAACTGTGAGTGATATATTTGACGCGCAAGTAAAGTTGGTCTTCAGGTTGACACTTATCTTGACTGTCAGATCACTCAGTCGCCCGTAACAACATTTATCTTCATTATTCTTGATGCTAACGCTCTTAATCAGATACTCGTGTTCAAGATCAACGCGCCACCATGGGTTATTTTCTAGCTGCGTGGTGGAGCATGATCCTTCTCCGATAGTTGCTGTTAAGATGCCATCGACGGCCTTAGAAGAATGATGGCTACCGCTGGATGACTGCTCGGTGGGTTTAAAGAGAGCTACGTTTTTGTTAACTTCACCTATAATAATAATAATAATAATAATAATAATAATAATAATAATAATAATAATAATAATAATAATAATA